GGTCCCGCGCTCTCCTTCCAGGAAGTCGGGCCCGAGGCGAGTTTCCCTGTGCCCGACGCCCGAGGGTGCTGGGGCTGCCCGGGAGGGCAGCACGGACTTGCGGGGTCTTGTAACCCAACAGTGAAAACGTCCTCTGGGAATTTCATCTGGTGAACGTTGCCACCAAAGCCTGAGTTGGCGTTGAGGCTGAAGAACACCGTAAACGCTCTTTGCAATCAGAGCTAGAGGCTCCTTACACCCTCTTCTTTCGTCTGAAATTTGTTCAAACTCCTGCTTTATCCCGGGCACTTTTATGCCCCCGGATGCAAAGGTAAAAAGAAGTAGTCCCGGTCATTAAAAAACTCACAATCCAGTGGGGGAAAGAGAGATGTAAACAAATAATAAAATGCCACTTGCATTAGAGCTTTGCAGGGAATGTTATGAGTGGAACATGGGGTGTGAGGGGTGTATTCTGTTGGCGCCACCTGTGTGCACCAGGCTAGGTACATCCTATGTGTAGTCTAACCGTAACCCTATCCCTCTGCCAAGGAAGTATTGTTATTTCCGTGTCATACCTGAGGAAACCAGACGACAAATAACGACTCAACTCACCGTGTGTAAATGACGGTGCCAGAAACTAAACCGTGCATTTGTTGGTTGTCCCAATACTCTTTTTATTACAACATTCTGCCCTAGAAATCACTGGCTCTTTATATCCCGTAGAGGCAGTGGCATTTTGGCTGAATCTTGAAGGGTATGTACTTCCAGTAGATTTTGGACCAAAAGGGACCACAGGGGAAGGCACAGGTTTGAAATACCATGTTCGTGTTGATAAAGTCCTCCATGGTTGAATCTTAGCAGAAATGACAAAAGATGGTTGGGGAGTCTGGGTGCGGGTCTAGACTGGAGATGAGGCTTAGGACAGATGCTGAAGGGTCTTGAGTATTACACCCTGGGCCAGTGATTCTCAAGGAGGGTGCACATTAGAGCCGCCCCCCCCCCCCAGCAGGAATTCAGATTTAATTAGAACGGGCTGGGACTCAAGCATCAGGTGTTTTAAAGATACTCCCCAAGTGGATTTTGCTCCGGCCATGACAGTGTACCTTGCCCTTCCACTCCCAACAATGAAAAAACTAGACAAAATATATGAAACGATTATCTTCAGACGATTATTGAATTACAGGCTGTGCAGATGTGAGCTATGCCAGAGAAGGGAAGCAAGCAAGATGAGCTATGTTTGCCCTGGCTTTCTGCCTGGAACTCGCCCGCAGTGCTGGTGGGAATGTAGAAGGGTGCAGCTACTTTGGGAAATAGACAGTTTCTTCTAAAGTTAAATATTCAGTTATAGTAAGACCCAGTGTTTCCACTCCTAAGTATTGGCCCAAGAGGAATGGAAACGTATGTTTACAAAAATATTTGTACCCAAGTGTTCATAGGAGCTTGATTCATAATATAGTCCCCAACTAGAATCAATCCCCATGTCCATCAACAAATGAATGGACAACGTTTTGAGAAATTTATGCAGTAGGGCACTACTCAACAGTAAAAAAGGAAGAAACTGCTGATTCATACACCATGGATGAATCTCAAAGACATTCTCTTGAGTGAAAGAAGCCAGCTGCAAAAGAGTAAACATTCAATTTATACAAAATTCTAGAACAGGCAAAACTTACCTTTACTGGCAGAAAGCTACTGACAGTGGTTGGTTGGAGTCATCTCTTTGGGGAGTTTGACTGAAAAAGTTGGACACATGGGAACTTTCGAGATGATGGAAATATTTTCTATCTTGATTGGTGGTGATAGTCACACAGTATATATATATTTGTTTAAAACACATCGAGCTGTATACTTAAAATGGCTGTACTTTATTATATGTAAATTATTCATTTATAAAGTTGGTTGAAAAAACCTCCCCAGATAATTTTGTTGTGCAGCCATGGTTGAGAACCACTGGTTTAAGGCAATTGGGAACCCTTAACTGATTTGTGATTTAGAAAGATAACAGAGCCATCACTGTATAAGATGAATCAGAGTCAGGAAATTAGAAGGTTATTTCAACAATGAGGGGTGATTGGGACTTAAGTTTCATCAGTGGCAGTGAGTAAAGAGAGAAGCAATAATTGGCAGGGATGTTAGGGTCAGACCCAATTGGTGTTGGAGTCTTCCATAGGGACTATATGAAAGAAAGAGAATGACACTCATGCTTTGATTAGGTGATTTGCTAAATGGTGTTACTTGTAAATTATTGGGTTGAAAGGGAAAAGCACACTTTGAAAGAAAGAAATGAATGTGTTGTGGACATCGTGTGATTTTGTTTTGTTTTCTTCCAGTTTTATTGAGGTATAACTGCCTTGTATATACATTGTATATGTTGGAGGGGTACAGTATAATGATTTGACTGACATACATCATGAAATGTTCACCACAATAGGTTTAGTGAACATCTATTGAATCATATAGATACAAAATAAAATAAAAGAGGTCATTTAAGAGATCATCAACTTAATCATATATATATTTATAGGTTGCTATATATAAACCTCATGGCAATCAGAAATCTCTAACAGATACACACACACAAAGAGGAAGGACTTCAAACATAACACTAAAGATAGTCATCAAATCGCAAGGGGAAAGAGCGTGATGGACATTTTGATTCTGAAGTTGATGTGGGATGCTAGGAGGAAGATACGCCGTGGACCAGTCACAAATGTGGATCTAGGTGTTAGGAAAAAATTTGGGTTGAAGATTAGATAGGGATTTGGTGTTGGTTGCATCTAGCTGATAGCAGACTGGAGGAGGCTCTCTGGGACGGTGTGAAATGTGATAAGAGTTGAGGACCGAGAATACTCAGAATTACCAACACGGAAGGACTCGGTAGAGAATGGAGAACATGGTCAGAGAGGGAGGCTGAAGACAAGGGACTGGAGCAACTAGTGATAGTGAGGTTTCCAAGAGGAGCCCAACAGTGTCATCTCCTGCAGATAATCAAGATTAGGACTGGAACATGCCCTTGGATTAAGAGAAGAGATTGCTGCACCAAAGTTCACTATGAAGTTCATGAAGAGGAAAATCTGTATTTCAGTAGTCTGAGTGACAGCTAGGACAGCCAAGCTGTGTTTTCAACATCCTTAAAGTCAGTGGTGTGCAGGAGGTGGCTTATCTGGGCTCAGGAGAGCCTATTGTTACATTTTTAGGAATTTTACAGCCATTATTAAAAATTAAGGAGGATGGTGGGGGGAGGGATAAATTAGGAGTATGGGATTAACAGGTATACGCTACCATGTATAAAACAGGTAAACAACAAGGATTTACTGTACAATACAGGGAAAACTATATTCAATATCTTGTAATAACTTATAATGGAAAATAATCAAACAAGAATATAGATATATACCTATATATGTATAACTGAATCACTGCTGTACACCTGGAAGGAACACAATATTGTAAATCAACTAGATTTCAATAAAAAAGTAAAAATAGAAAAAAATTACATAAACTTACAATGAAGTCATATTAAAAACTCAAACTCATATTAAATACTCAAAAATCATTTCCAAGTTATTTACATATATCTTACTATTGTTTATGCCCTACATTTTATTATTCCAGCCTCAAACTCTTGACTTCTGAATTTCTCGGTCCCATGAGCTTGCTTACTCTCTTTTGTGTAG